ATTGCATTGGTCATATCTTACGCAGTAACTGCCTTGTAAAAGAAGTTATTGAAGGAAAGATAGAGGGGCAGATAGAAGTGACCAGAAGACGAGGAAGAGGACGTAAGAAGATGCTGCATGATCTTGGGGACAGAAGAGGATATTCTCATTTGAAGGAGAAAGCTCTAGATCGCATTAAGTGGAGGAACTGTTTTGGAAGAGACTGTGGACCTGTTGTCTGACAGATTACTGATTAATGACGCAGAAGACGAAGAGGACGTAAGAAGATGCTGCATGACCTTGGGGACAGAAGAGGATATTCTCATTTGAAGGAGGAAGGTCTAGATTGCATTAAGTGGAGGAACTGTTTTGGTAGAGACTGTGGACCTGTTGTCTGACAGATTACTGATTAATGAATGAATGTGGTGGGTGGAGTCCAGCTGGGTCCACTTGGCATGGCGGCCACTGATTAGCCTATTGTACCTGCCCCAGGTGATTGTGATGATGGAGAATTTTGGTGGAATGAAGATTGGCAGGGGAAACCGAAGTACTCGGAGAAAACCCGCCTCAGCATCACTTTGTCCACCACAAATCCACTTGACCAGACCCGGGATCGAACTTGGGCCACAGCGGTGGGAAGCCAGCGACTCACCGCTTGAGCTATGGCACGGCCTTTAACCTACCTTACTTTATAGAGGAGTCTCAAAGTGACAACCCTCTGCTTGTAAGCATGTCTTACATTATGAGAGTATATGTAGGGCAGTCAAAAAGTTCCCGGAATTCCCCTGCAGACGGAGAACAAGGGATAAGGTAGCATGCACACTGTTGTGATGGGGAGCTCAGCATGTCGGCTTGCAGGCGACAAATGGCAGGGACAGTGGTTTCTGCATCACAATAACGCACCGAGCCACACATCGCTTGTTATGTAGCAATTTCTGTCATCACTCAACAACCGTACTCTCCGGATCTCGCTCCGAGTGACTTTTGGCTGTTCCCTACTCTGAAAATGGGCCTCAAGGGGACACTTTTCGCAACCATGGAGGACATCAAATCGAATGCGACGGCTGAGCTCCAGAAGATTCCAAAAGAAGCCTTCCACCGCTGCTTCCAACAATGGCAGGATCGATGGAGCAAGTGTGTGTTAGCGCAAGGGTCTTACTTTGAAGGTGATTAGGTAAGCGCTGCCGAATGTCGTACCATTAGAGTGCTATACCACCATTCCGGGAACTTTTTGACTGCCCCTCGTATTTCTAGACACAGACTGAAGCTGTGGGAATAATGGAAATTTTGTGCCTAATATTTTCTTCAAGTTCTTCCAGAGAGTGCAGATTGTTCATGTTGTAATTGCCCCTTTCCTTTCTTTGTACTTATGCCAGCTCTGATAGACCACTTAAACCCTTCTCAGGTTCGTGTCATGGCAGTAACTGAGGCAACTGGCATCTGCATCGTTGAAGACAGTCCAATGCTCTAAATCAACGACACAATGACTTCCACCGTTCATGAACTGTTTGTTTTTTTCAGAAGTGAAACGTTGGAGCTTCCTTTGCCCTTTTATATTAATAAAATGTAACTTTCCAAAACTGAAGGCCCGGTTACTTTAAACAAACACGGTGATGGTGTAACGATGATGTAGAGGAAGAAATATTTTAACGTGGATCTTTATAATTAAGCAGTGTTTTTATCATAATAAAATTGTTACAGCCTGTATTGATTTTATTTAGTGACCATGCCAAATCATTGCCACTCTTCATTAGACGATACACTTCTGGCTCAGTGTATGCCTATGCTATGACAAAGGCCCTTGAAGCTTTTAAGAAGTGCAAAGATCAATTATCTGAATGTGTGATCATACTGGAAGAACTTCTCTGCCAAGATATCTACCTGCCTCATTATCGAGGCAGATGGTATGATCAGTTAGCTCTGGTTCTGCAAGTACATCTTAAGAAATGTGATCAGGTATGTACAATGTGGAATCATGCATTATTTTAAATCCCAGCAGATCATGTTCGTGATCTTTGTGGTCTTAAGAAGAAGAATGCTGATGTAATAGTAACATGATTTATTAACAATACAGCATAGCAGTATAAGTTTACCAAGCAGTCTGTATAGTTGTAATATAATTAGACCTCAGATCATACTTAATTGGACTTTTTGGAAGTGACTGTTTAAATTATGGATCATCTTACTGACTATACTGACTGAAGGTTTTAAGGATTTTCCTCATACCATGACTGCTCTCCAAATCATTACATGCTCACTATTCATGAGCATTTTCTAATCTTATTTGATACCATATGACCTGTAGTTGATAAAGTGTCATGAAATAAATCAAGATTCAAACAAATATAAGGTTGAAGAAAGTCGTCTTCTGGATTTAGGCACCGTGTATTCTTCGTTTTGGCCGACGTTTCGGAGGAACGTAGCGCCTCCATCTTCAGAGCAGTTGAATGGCTTGGAATGCGGAGAGCAGTAGCTGTAGTGATAGGATGTGAAAGTCGCTGCTTATATATGAAGTAGGCAGGGGGTGGTTGGTTAGGGAGAACGGACCAATGGGAGCAGTGGGGAGCGATTAAGACCATATATGGTGTTGT